TTATATTTGCACTATAAATAAAAAGAACACAATTAAATAGATAAGATATAGAAAAGATCAACGATGTCTCCTTATAAACTAGCCGAGGGTTACATAAAATGTGGCTGTTGTGAAATATGTGTATATGAAAACAAGAAATCAAATAGAAATCTTACTGATCGGAAAGGCTGTCTCGTATAAGAGCGGGTCAAGGTGTGGCAGGTGTGGTAAAAGGGTACATTTTATTGTGTGCTGAGCACAAAGAACATGCAATGTTTTAGAGTGTCTTTGAATGTTCCACACAATTGATCATACGCTCATACTTCTTCGCGTATATTATAAGCTATATTTTAATAAATAATAATAATAATAAAAAAAAGAAAATATGTACAATGCATGTTATTTAAAAAGAGGAAACCGGTATATAAATAAAAACAGCCATTAATTTTCAAGGTAATTGTACAAAAGTATACATATTTACACGTTTTCAACACAGCTGTTTCATACTGTTTACCCTTCCGCTGATGTTGAAAAGATAACCTTTTTTTTTAACAAATAATGAATAAAAAAGAGTTAATAATTAAAGCTATTGATGGTAATTAAGAGAACAATAGCTATAGTTTTTCTTTTACGTACACTTCAATGAATATCAAGGATAATGATGAAAAATAAATGACCAATATTTCGAATTCACTACGCTACTTAATTTTAATAAAAGTTTATTTCATATATTTTGACATAATTATTTGAAATGTCTTCCTTTGTCACATTTCTTAGTACCAGGCCCTATACTTGAGTCTCGGTGGCATGTAATCAAAGAGTTGTCCTGGACCATCACCAAACCTTTGCACACCACAGAATTATTGGTCCTATCGTAAGATAAAAATGTTTGATTGTTCGTTTTAATGACGGAAAATAATATATATTTATTATATCTTGATAATGCTAATTGGATACTAATAAGGTTGCTGATAAAATCTTTATCATATTAAATAATCTACATGTATTTGAGAGGGGAGAGCAGATTGAGGAGTAATTATGACTACAACTTGATGTGTATATGTTCCTGGATGTTGTACTGGGTATTAGAAAATTGTGGATGCATGACTATTTGACTAATGGTGTTTGTTCCCGTGACGTTAAAGTTACGTCCACAGTCAGCGTTAATACTCTTATAATAAATACTCCCAAAAAGTCATTCGTACAAGGACTTCATAAGAAAATATTTAGGACAACTCAAACCGATTTTGTAACATCTAATGATGAAGGTCATATTTCTTTTTCAAATTATTGTTTAATATTATAAACATTTCTCATTAAAATGTTAAGATCTGAAAAAAAAAACAATCTATACAAGTATGTGAAGTTTAAAGTCCACTTCCACTTGTATTGTATCGCGTAATATAATTTAGATTCCACCTTCCAAAAGTAGGTGGGGTTTAACATCGGAGGCCACCTTAGATTATATCGGACCATAACTTCCGCCTTAGTTATCCGATTCCATCTTAGATTATATCGCAAATCTTTGACTTCCGCCTTAGTTAAATATAAGCAGATAGGCATAAACATCCGATACCACCTTAGATATCGCAAACACACTGACTGCCGCTTTAGTTAAATAAGTGGTGGGGTTTAACATCCGATTCCATCTTAGATTAAATCGCACACACCTTGACTTCAACCGTAGTTAACTAAGTAGGTGGGGTTTAACATCCGATTCCACCTTAGATTATATCGCACACACCATGACTCCCGCCTTAAGTAAGTAGGTGCTGTTTAACGATAAATGAGCTTAACCTCTTTGATTTAAGTGATGAGTCACGGTGGCTCTGCAATGAGTAACGCACTGGCTGACTAACCAGGCGGCCCGGGGTTTGATTCCGGTGTTGGCTCAGAAAGTTCTCCTTCTCAGTTGTGCAGGACGTGGGGCCTGGCAATGACTAGCGTCTAGTCGTTCGGATGGGACGAAAACCCATCCATAAAATTGTACCTCGTGTTAACATTGGCTGTGTCTATGGATGGAAACTTTTTGAACGAAGACAGATTGTTATTCCATCAAATAAATCGACATATGCAATTTTATGAAATGGACAATTTGTTTTATTTACTCACGTCTAGCTATTTTAAATAAGCGATTTTAAAATCCACGTCCCTATCATCTATATATCTACGCTTTAACGTTTATGGTTTCACGTTACATTTTACCAACCTTTGCTACCTGATTATTATTAATCGGATACGGAATAACAAAATATCAGACGATAACAATGATGACACGGAGTTGGGCAGAGAAGAGTTATTGATATTATAAAATTTTAGGTTCATTCATATCAGCATAACGTCTGATCTATCGATATTATTTTAAATTTAAAGAGTTAGTAACATCGACCTGTAACCTTGTATTCACATTAAGAAAGGGTTCAATATGTACGTGGTGTGCAGTACGTGATGTGTGGTATACTAATCAACGACAAGAACAGATAAGAACGTTTTTTCGTTAATATCGCCCAAAGTTTTGCAAAAAATGAGCGATAAGGAAATAATTTTGACAAGGCGGGGTTGTATACAAGGAAGATATAGCTTACACTGGATAACTTATTTATAAAACCCACAGTCTGGAAAATAATAAACGTGATTAATATAACCGTGTAATGTCCCCTCAATTCAACTCTTGAAACATTTTGTAATGCTGAACTGATACAGTCGTTTTATTTGGCTCATGACATTAACTATGCCGAAAACATTGGGATATTGAGAGGACGAGCCCTATCGATATATACCGTTTTGCGACCTTTCGTTTCAGAGTTAAGCCCCATTTCCCCAGAAACCTGTGAACGCAACAGAGGCCACTGTTTATTTTTCAAATTTGTTGTGAAGCATTGAGGTTATTAGAGGACGAACGCAGTTGCATTCCGTATTTACGTCCCCTTTGCTAAAAACATTGCGATCATGCTAGATGATTGTTTGGTAAAGTTAGGCCAGCAACCTTAATCCTTTTCACGTGCAAGACTGGAACCGAAACCACAAACACTTTACTCAAAGCGCATGTTTTAGACACCCCCCCCACCCTTCACTACCACAACAGGTTAAAAGTAAGACTTCCAAATAAAATTCATTTTCACTCAGTATGTACAGACGATGTTTTATCACTGAACAATCCTAGATTTTATATATCCACTCATGACACAACCTATTTGGATTTGCTTTTGAATATTATTGTATTTTATTTCTGAACTCTAAGTTTGGATGCCCTTTTTGACAATACTATTTTATTACAATTATTGAATAAAGACTCTTTCCGTATCTAGTATTGTAAATATAATTAGTATTACACAGTATACAATTATATTTATCTCCAAAAACAAACGCCTTGATAAATATGGAATAAATAAGTGAATAGGGTTTATAAATAATTTATCTGACAAAACAATACACGTTACATTATGATTTTAGATCGAGGGAGCCGCGGTGGTTCATTGTGTAAGACACTGGCTCACATACCTGGATGGTCCGGGTTCAGTTCCTCGTGAATTTCTGGCGTGGTTTCCACTTGTCCGTGGTGTAGGGCGTGGGGGGGGGGGGTGTCAAGGAATAGCATCTGGTCGTTCGGTTGCGACGGAAAATCAAGGTCCCGTGTACACGTTAGCGTGCACGTAAAAGAGTCGCCGAGAGTTGGAATTTAAATTAAGAGTACGTCGTAGTATGGTGTATTCCCATCTTCATTAGCTCTGTTGGTAAAGAAAAGTAAAACGTTAAACCCCTTTCATTTCATTTCATCTTAGATCTAAAAGTGGGATGGGCGCTAGCACTTTATATCAAGACGTTTGTCAGCGATGCATGTGTCGTGGTTTCGATCCCAACCATGTCGGTTTTCTCTGACCCCACCTGTCCTACTCTAGAGACATCTACACGCAAGCTATTTATTGAAATCAACATATCTGTTAGAGTTGGGTGGGTGTTAAAATCGCTCTCCCTCTCTGTCTCTGTCTCGGACTTTTCTGAAACAGAATCTTTTAGTCGATTTGATTGGGCTGTATTTAAGGACTTGTTTAAATGTTCGAACTCTTGCCATTAGAAAAGCAATCGTTTCGCAAACATCAAGCCAGTCCCACGGACAATAGGGACAGTGGCTGGATATTGAGTTAGCGTCTACCCCTCGTTAATCCTCGCTGACATATATAGTGTTTGTGGTAAGAGAGAGATAGAAAGGGGGGGGGGGAGAGAGAGAGAGTACGGGTCAACCATCCCCACCCCCTTTTCTGTGATCTTTTTTCTTTTTTAAATACAATTATTTTTTTCAGAAATAGTTTTAGCACACTAGTTTTACTTGACCTTTCAAGACACTTAGTTGCAAATCATCAAATGAACTGCTGGACAATCTCAGAAGGAGACAATCGGTATAATCGCAAAAAGTATATTTGTCTTCAAAGCTTCATCGACTATCGATTATCGTTTTTTGGTGAGAATATAAAATCACGATAATAACAGGAATATATTGAGAGACGTGGGGGAAAACTTAATGGAAATGACTATTTTCCCCAGAACACTGCAAACAATTATTTGCCTCCCGATTTAAACAATATGCCTATTCTTATGGGATATTCATAACCAAGGTGGCAAGTAAACAAACTCATTATGCGCACATAGAACTATCTAATTCGAGAATAGATCCTTGCCCAGAATGTAAAAATTAGTATATTATTTTGTAATGTGGTTCTACCCAGTTTCACATTCTGTCATACACACAAAGACTAAATAAACCTATTCAATTTTAAAGGCTCAATACCACTCTTGCTGTAACTGAATAATATGTCCCAATCTTTATTCTGGTCAACAAATTGTACTATTTTACAATATTCCAATTAAATGATGATACAAATTTCATCTTAACACACCTAATTTAAAAAATTGGAAAAATTCAACTAAATGATTTGAAAAGCCTGACGTAAAGCTTTTCAAATGTGACTTGGATTTAAAAATATTTTTGAACCCTCTGGACAAGTAAACTAGGATTTAATGGATAATTTACACAAACGGTAAGACACTAACACATTTAGTACTTAGAATAAGGCTATTTTTTTATTTTCTGGAGCTGTCAAGCCAGCAAGAGTGTTATTGGCCCTTTAAGCAGAATAAATACTACTCAAAAGTGTTTTCGACTAAAATCGTCGATTTAGAAAGCAAAATGTCGGGCAACTAGCTTAGTGGCTAATTGTAGACAGACAGTGTACGTTTATCATGAAATAAACCATGCCGCTTTCAGCACAACTAGGTCATTTCGGGACTAACATAATATGGTGCAATTTTAAATTCGATTGCGCGTGGTTGTCTTTAGCAGTGGGAGAAAACCGGATGACCGGTAGAAAACCCACGAGGTTGGACGGGTGACCCTACTTCTTATAACGTACAAGCGAGGAATCGATGATCTAACGCGCATTTGGCCACCTAATACCCCTCCTCCACCTCTGGATCCGCGCTTGGACTGTTGAATGTATGGACGTCATTTGTATGTTGTGATTTTTTAACAAAAGGATGGAAGTGGGTGATTTCCTCTTAAACATATTCCTTTCAATATTTTATGATGTCAATGTGTTAAAATGCACCGACTGCTTGCGCATAAAAATAAATGCACCGGTTTCTTTTATATAGAAGACGACAAGAGATAACGTATTTTATTTAAGGAAATATCCAAACAACACGTTTAGATATAAAAACCTGGTGCGTGTATTAAATGTTTTATTAACGGGACATAGTTTAAACACGTATTGGTGATATTTTATTGAACTAGATGTAATTCACTTCATTTTTCATTATAATGTTATATTATCCTATAAATAGGATTCATTCAAAATCACGTGATTTTTGCGTTCATGTTTTTATTTCTTGTCTCAAGATTTACCTATAATAAGAGGGATTACTGTCTCAGTTAAGAGAAAGACGTTTTCACCAGTAACATCACTTGACGGAAACAGTAAATATTATTGTATAACACTTCATCATGTTGACCGTAAGTATATAGCCCTATAGTAGTTTAAATACGAATATAAACATACGTTTACAAAATTTTCTATTTAAATTTATTATGTAATATTCAACTTCTTTAATTTTGAATATCGAATTTAAAGATATTTTTATGGTTATGGTTATCTCGAGATGTGTGGAGATACAGTAATGTTTTTTTTTTTTTGTTTTGCTGTTGTTTTCGCAGTTTAATAAAAATGACATGTTATTTTCAAGTTATATTATGTGTAACCATTTTATGTAGTTTAATGTATAGTTTATAAAACAGTGTCTTCTTGGTTATAGATTAACAAATATTAAAGCAATATACTTCAAAATTCTTTTTGTATGAACAAATTCAGATAAACACATAAAGGTCCCAATAATGTATTTCAAAATTGGCTTGTATCTCCTGTGCTGTTTCGTACTGTGCTGTTTCTTCTTCTCATCTAAGAATAACATTTAGAGATAAATAAAATCTTTCTTTTTACATTACAGTATAATAAACAGTCGTCGATAAAGTAAACCTACCATTTCCGTTTAAAGCTATTTAATAAGTATTAATTCTGTTTCAGTTTGTAGCTACCATAAGTGTGTGTATCTTGTCTGCCGTACAGGGATTCCCAAGTGGCCCACTTCCAACTGCTTGTAGTGATTTGTTTCCCACTGGCCATGCTGTTAATGCTCAAACCGGCCTTTCCGGTTTCGCAATAACCACGAATCAAGCTACTTATACTCCAGGTGGCACTGTTACAGGTAAATGGTTAAACTTTATCACGTTTTCGTAGTTTACCAGAATAACAATATATCTTCACTTTGAAAGGCGGTGAAATATACTTTACTGGTCGGTAATTATTGGCTTATTGGCTTCATAATCGTAGAGTCCGGAATCCAAGACGTTGCTGGGATATGCTTACTATGTTTCAAGGTCTTATATGATCACAATAAGTGTCAATAATTGTTCTTATTGGCTTATTGGCTTCATAATCGTAGAGCCCCGAATCCAAGACGTTGCTAGGATATGCTTACTATGTTTCAATGTCTTGTATGATCCCAATAGGGTCAATAATTGTTCTTAACGGAGTGACCGTTCTTTCAGAAAACCAGATACCACTTTTCATTTGTTTTTTAAGTTACCATACATAATATACCGGACTGTTTTTGTCGAGGACTATAAGACACACTGATACACAAACCATTCTACTTGCGATCGGTGCAGAGAAGAATGGCGTATAATCCGATGCCTTTATTAGAGATTACAAAGTTAGTTATTTAAATGATGTGTTTTAGTGAATTTGCTTGGTTTGGGTAATGCTTTTGATGGTGTTATGGTACAAGCTAGAAGAGCTACCACTAATTGTTCTAGTGGCATAAATAGTGTACCTGTTGGTACATTTACCATACCAGCTGGAGACACATTCTTACAACTGATGTCATGTGGTGGTGTTGTCAGTGTAAGTATCCAATGTTCATTAATATTAAAGACACTATTTAACGAAACCATGGCTTACTAACCTGCAGTTCCGCGGTTCGACCCCGATGTTGGCCGCGAAATTTTCCCGGGATTTTCCAGTGCGGTTCCCCCTTATCAGTGGTGCAGGTTCGGATGCCTTGTGTATAAATTATGGTGTAGGTAAATGAACCCTTTTCAGTTAGAATTCGATATAAAAGTAGCACACTGTATAGCATATACCCGTCTTCATTAACCCAGTTTGTGAATACAAGTATGACGTTAAACCCCATTTCAGCCAATCATTCCCTAACGAAAGCGTGTGTGGTGTCCAGGTGAAAAATCACAAAGTGCCCAGTGAAAATGAAATAATGAAGAGACGAGTCTTAATGTGGGATTGCCTGTCTCATTAAGAAAGTAAACCTGATTTTCTCAAAAGTAATATAGCTTGCGGTGTGGTGGTGGTGGTGGTGGTGTGTGTGTGTGTGTGTGTGTGTGGGGGGGGGGGGGCTAGAGTATTTGTGGGTTTTAAATTATTATTTTTCCTCAATAAATAGGGCAGGAAATTTTAATAGGCGTTTCCGAAGATTTTCCCCTTGTCAGTGGTGTAGGAGATAGTGTCTGACAAGGGACAACGTATATAGTTGTTTTGATGGAATGAAAAGCCTAGGTCCCGTGTACACATTGGCGTGCATGCGAAAGGGACCCTTAACAGTTTGAATTCGATATAAGAGAAGGCTGTAGTGCCACTGTCCCGGCAAAATTTCCCTAAAAGCACACTGTGTGGCGTATGCCCTCTTTCGTTAGCCCATGCAGGCGATGCACGACAGTGGGACGTTAAACCCTTGGTGTTCCCGAAGAACAAAATTCAGATTAATATAAACTAATGAATGACTTTTCTTATTTGTAGAATACAGTTGCTCAAAAAACGAAATTAGTTGTTACCAGTAAAACTGTAACATGGACAGCTCCTACCATATCAGTTGGTCAAATATATTTTAGGTAAGTTTCAAATTAGGTTTCTTTGGTGTATTATCTTAATCTGTGATGGTATAAACGTTATTTACATGTAGTTAACATTTTTCTACCCATTTTATTCTTGTTTGTATACAATTTTTCACTTTCGGGGTTAACTATGTAATAATAAGAATTTTATAATTTATGATAAAAAAAAAACCGCCTATATTGGTCGAAAACAAGGCCGTAACTAGCTCAGAGCAACGAGGGGGTCGGGAAGTGTTCTCAGTGATGCTTAAAATTGACGGAAATGTATATCTATTTTTTTTTATGGTCGACAATGTTTTCACAGGGGGGGGGGGGGGCGAAACTATTTGCAGGGGGACTTGCCCCCCCCCCCCTGCTCCCCCACCCCCTCTTGTTGTGGGCCTGGTCGAAAATATGACTCAACTATGCTCGAAGGAACATCGACATCCGTGTAATGTACTGGGAACCTTAAGGGAGATAACCGTTTTCTATTAGTAGAATACAGGCCGCTGTTACTTATCTATCTCTCACTCGCTCAGGTGACAAAAAATATTAATACATGTAGTAATATCTTACTGACCTTAAAACAGTTTGACTTTAAAACCCTACAACAGATTCTGTATCAGAAAAAAAACCGATATTGTTTATGTATTATGTCGCTATTTAGACTACTTTCTAAGGCCGTCCAATGTGGGATTCTACAGTCTACTGTTAAAGGTTTCACTGTCGAAATGCATACTTAAGCACTAATATGATTTATGTTATTATTTTGTTTATTTTAGGGGAACCTTTATCAAAAACACCAAGACATTCTGGACAAATGTAGCTTCGTCTATTGTCAAGCCACTTGGTGATGCTACTGCCGCCCTTCCTGTTTGTGCTGTCAGAACTGTTCTCTAATAATCCAAGCTTAACCAATTTCATGATCACAAAATGTTAAACATAATACAAACACCACAAAATTTCAGGTTAAAAAATCAGATTTTGTGGTGAGTGGTGAAAAAGGAGCACACCTACTCATCTATTACAAGTGTGAAGATACAACACCCTTTACACATTTAGGGCCCTAAAATAAAAACACCTATTTACCCGAGAGGTACAAATCATGAATAGATATGATCGATATGTTCGATCCCTATTTTAGCTAACATCTCACTTTAGACATCTTTAATTTTTTATGGTTAATTCTTCATGAAATTTAAATATGAAAATATAAAGGCATTAACAATTTCTGATCCGTGGTATGCATGTTCTTTGGACAATTGCGCATCGATTGACGGACTTCGATTTTTGACATGACGTTACAATTCAAAGATGGTGGCGATGACGTCATGTTTAACAAAGTGAGCGTTTAGTTATAATAGCCTTTGAGCATTCAGCCCATTACATACACATATAAGTAATATACTGACATAATGTTAAACGCCATTCATTAATTGATCACCCACTGATAAATATCATGCCATCTGTATGATTTAGTAATAAATTCATTCATGTAAAAACAGTGTTTCCTTTTGATTATTTCTACTGCAAGATTTGAATTATGAAAAGCCATTTTACAATTTGTAAAGCAAAAGTGGCAGCAAGCTTATTAAAAGTTTGACGTTTCCCAAATAATAATGATTTTAAGAGCTTGTTGTATGGATAGCCATGTCTACCAAATTGTGTAATATAATTATGTAACAGTGAAATATCTTGTGTATATAATACCAAGATTCCCTCTATCACTCGCAAATATCAGGAAATTTTCAGTTCATCGCGGCGGTTCAAGGCTGGATAATTTGGCAGTCGAAAATTGTGAGATCAATTTGTATTTTTATTAAAATGCACCGTTGTATAGCCTGCTAAAAACACAGATTAATAGCACAAATTCTCTTACGGCACTGGAACGTCCTTATGTCTATGGATATACTGGTTATGATAACGTCGCTCTGAATACAGTAATTTGAAAGAAATTTCCATTATACTAATTTGGAATGATCTATTTTGGAACTTTATAGCAAGAATGGTCAGCTCTTTATATAATGCAGCTTTAGTTGGTCGTTTTTTTAGACTAGATCAAAGGGGCATAAATCAGATCATGAGCGCAAGTTTCCATAATGATTGAAGTGTCGTATATATATAGTGACATGGACAACCGGATCAAATCAATGGAAAGGCTGCGATGGATAAATGTAAAACGGCATTAGCAACGACTTGCAATTGCCCCAGTAGTCCACAAGAGGTCCAGTCCTTGGCATGGTATGATTAATGAGGACGAAAAAAAAAGAAAGAATGCGTATGGTTTGAAACAAATAATAGACATTACAGAAATGAAATGGGGTTTAATGTCAGAGTTTCTGCTCCATCCGAGCTAATGAAGACGGACATAAGTCATGCAATGTGCTATGAGGGAACAGCGATGCTAGAGTCTTACCTTATTTCGAATTCCAAGTGACAAAGGTTCATTTACGTGCACGCCAACGTGTACACGGGACCTCGGTTTTTGTCTCACCCGAATGACTAGACGCCTTTCCTGCACTACTGACAACACCGGGATAGAACCCGGGACCTCCAGGTTAGCAAGCCAGTGTCTTACTCACTGAGCCACAGTTCACAGCAAATTGTTCCCCACATATGAAAGTTACATAGGGTGGTCTAACGCGTGAACTTAAGATAATAAGGTCTGTCATTGAATGGAGACGAAAAGGAGAATAGGGCCGTCTGTCCAACCTGGTGGGTTTTCTGTGGGCCCGTATGCGCAAGCGAATCACTGAAGCAATTTAACAATAGTCCCGAAATGACCCAGGACTTTAAACCTCATTTCTCTCCCTTTCGCTGAAAGTTATATATCAATCACTAACCCGGACAGTTTCGTGTTTATTCTTTTCGTTACAACTTGTTTATCGTATTTTTGTCGTACTATGCACAAATATAGTCACGAGAAGAGGACGGTTGTTGAAGCCTTGCTATTAAATTTAGTAATTGTATTACAGATGTGTGTGAAATAGCTTTATTTAACGTCCGCTTTCACCGAGGTGATATCTCAGATAAATACATGTTATATATACATAGTTAGATTATTTACAATGTGATTAGCGAAAAAGGATTCAATGGATAATTAAATATTTATATATATGTACAGAAAATAATAAATGAAGGGACGAGACGTTATATAACGAGTGCAAAATAAAGAAGTGCGAATAAAGACAATCATAGACATTATGATGGCCGTAAGCTCGATAAAGAAAATACATTCAAACCATAAAATTTCTTTATTCAGTCCACCATAGGATTTATAAATAAACCTTGTACATAGCGGTATTGAAACGCGTCACCGTCCCTTTAAGTTTAACTTGAAACTGCAGCCATGCCGTTACCAATAGCCGATGTCTTGTTTACCGTTAGCCTTTCACAGAGACACGACGAATTGAGACCTTAAACTAGCAGTTTATACAGTTTACCGTCAACACTCAATTTCCTGGAATGTCCTTTAACCGTGTGACATAACTATTGAGTATCCATAGGGAAACTTTAACGTTAAAACGTTTAATTTGCACGCTTTTTTGCACACTTCCCGCTTGCTTACAAAATCCGTTATAATAAAGAGAGTCCCCCCCCCCCCCCTTTAACCGTTAATTGCGATAAAAACAAACCAAAAATGTAAACAGTTCGGCTGCGGCCACATACCCGGTCCCTAAAACGTAACACCATTTAAAGTTATTAAATACTATTAAACGTTAAATCACTTAAAAGTCACTTTAACACGTTAATCACCATCTTCCTTCTCAAGCAGTAGAACCAATTTAGCAATAGGTCGGCCTAGTTGAGTTGTTGACGTTCTAACTGTAGCAGCTCTAACTAGCCCTTTATTATCAATTTCTGTTGAAACGATTCTTCCCATTATCCATTCGTTTCTAGGCAGACTGTCATCACACACAAGAACAATATCATCAATCTGGACATTACGTTGAGGATGACACCATTTATTGCGCTCCTGTAAACATATCATATATTCGTTCCATCGGGTCCAAAACAGATTGGCGAGATACTGGACTCTGCGCCACCTGCGACGTAGATATAGATCTTCACGTTGAAAACATCCAGGCGGTGATAAAACAACCTGAGTCTTAGTAGTTAAGGGATCTAAATCGTCTTTGTCAGAAGAAAAGAATGTAAGAGGTCTGGAGTTTAAGATGTGTTCGACCTCGCACATTAAAGTTCTAAACGATTCATCATCTAGACATCTACCATGTTCCTTGAGGAGAAAACTGAAGACCTTTCTAATTGAGCGAATTTGGCGCTCCCAAATTCCTCCCATGTGGCTTGCAGTTGGGGGGTTGAATATCCAATCAACGTTGAAATGCAGCAATTTATTTCTAACTTTATCCTTGTCCATTTCATCTAATGCCTGGCGAAGCTCCCTTTCGGCACTAATGAAGTTGGATCCATTATCACTTCGTATCTGTCTAACGGGTCCTCTTCGGGATATGAAACGTTGAAGAGCTTGTATGAATGAATCCGCTTCCTGAGAGTTTGAAACTTCGATGTGGATACTTCTGCTAGCTAGACAAGTGAAAATAGCTCCGTAACGTTTAAGTTCACGTCGTCCATCCTTAATGTAGAACGGTCCGAAATAATCTAATCCCACGTAGGTAAACGGTGGTGAGGGGTTGACTCTTTCGGCTGGCAAATCCGCGATTTTCTGTATGTTTGGTTTAGCTCGGTTACGTCGACAGGGAACACATTTAGTTATCACTTGAAGTACTGCGGCGTTGGCTCCTATTATCCAATACTTTTCTCGTAGAGATGCTAGAACATGACCTCTTCCTGCATGAGCAAGTCGTTGATGAGCATGACGAATGATGAGTTCTGTCAAGTGACCCTTTCTGGGAACAATTACAGGGTGCTTTGAGGGTTCTGAGACGTCGGCTCTGTCCAACCGTCCACCAACTCGTAGAACACCATTATCGATAACTGGATCGAGTTTCCATAAATTTGACAAATTCTTCGTTAACAACTTTTTGCGCTTAAACTGTTGGCGACGATTATTCTGATTAAAGTCTGTTGATCTAAGAACTTTAAGTTCTTCTACGTATTGATGTTCGTGAACGTACTTAAAAAGACTATTTTCTGCTTCCTCCATTTCTAAAACAGTTATGGGTAAGCTTAAGTTTCTGAATGAGGCTTTCCTCCGTTCAGTCATAAAGGCTTCTACAGATTTATTTAAATGATTCTGATCTTTTCTGTCCTTACTCAAACGCAGTAGAATTGATTTTAACCGTGAAAATATAACAACAGCACATCTTAATCTGTGCCAATCTGAATAGTGTTCAATAATCATCTTCACAGGATTAACAGAACAAGTTAAGTTCGTAACACAATTATAAACTTCATCCTTTACTTCAGGATCTGATGAGGGAATTAGTCCAGGTAACACTGGTTGTGTGATCCATTCCTCTTCTGGCTTCCATAAGAATTCCGGACCTTTAAGCCATCTGTTTGACTGTAGGAATGTTAGGCTTGTTAAACGACGCGAGGCGTCATCAGCTGGGTTACTTTTAGTGTCGATATACAACCATTGGGATGGTTCTGAGCAGTTACGAATCGTTTGAACTCTGTTCGCCACAAAGATTTTGAATCGTCGTTGGTCATTATGAATGTATCTTAAGACAGTAGTTGAGTCTGTATGATAAAAGACAGAATCCGGTTTATCCGTCAACTCCTTTAACAACAGTTGGCCAATACGTGTTGATACTGTAGCGACCGTTAGTTCAAGTCTTGATGGGTGAGAGTCTACTTTTACCTAGTAAAAATGAACAGTGTATTCGATCGTTATTATCCTTGAGTCGACGATAGGCAACAGCTCCATACGCTGTAGAACTTGCATCCGAAAATATATGAACTTGGTTTGATAGTATAGGTCCAAATTCAACTGGTTTAAAACATCGTTGAATCTCTATCTTCTCTAAAGCTAGGAGATTATCTTTCCAGTTTAACCATTGTCGTTGATACTCTACTGGAATAGCATCATCCCAGTCAAGATCAAGGCGGCATAAACCTTGTAGTATTCGTTTGGCTGTTAACGTTACCGGAGAAACAAATCCCAGTGGGTCATAGATTGACGATACCATGGATAAAATACCTCTGCGGGTTAAAGGTCAGTCCTTTAAGGTGATTGTGAAACCAAAAGTGTCTGATGAAACAACCCATTTTACGCCCAGTGCCCGTTCTACTGGTAGGTCCAAATCTAAATCTAACTCGCGAACTTCCTTAGCCCTTTCGTCCTCTGGAATGGATTCAAGAACCTCTTTATCAGAACAGATGAACTTGGTCAACCTAAATCCACCTTTAAGGCATGCACCTTGCAATCTTTGGATTAAGTCTTTAGCTATTTCTGGAGTCTCGACACTTTTAAGGCAATCGTCAACATAAAAGTTATTACAAGTCACATCTGCAACAGTTTTACCAAACTCTTCCTCTGATTTATCCGCAGTCTTCTTTAATGCAAAGTTTGCGCAGC